TGGGGAGGAATGGGACGGAGACAAAGAAGTGGAAAAGGACCCTCCCCCCCACAACTGAACTGCTCCACCTACTTACCCACCTTTCTTCCCAGTCTTCTGAAAGGAGAGGATGTGGAGATAATGAATTTTTTTTTAAAAATGAAAGAAGAGAAAAGAAGGGGGGAAAACACTTTTACAAAAAAAGTTTACGTTCTAGAAGTTTACAATTTTTAAAGGAGTTTAGCAAGTTGTGTCAGTGACTCTCTGATCTCACGTGATGTCAATATTCCTCTCTAGCAAACACAGATTGTAACCCAAGCAGGCCTCCTCACTCTGTGGGACTAGTGCCCATTTCCTCATGTAAATCCTCTCCCAACTTACTGAGGACTTTCCTTTGAATCTCTTAACACTGCCTGGATACCAACAAAGCATGGCAGACTGTTCACTGGTTCTCACCACAAGACAGGCCCACCTTCTTTTTTGGTCCTTCAGCTCTCCAATAACATTTTTTATAAGCCACTCATCTTGTACAATTATTCCTCAGTAATGTGTTGGACTCTACTCACACTTACTATGGACACCTCTCAATTAACTTCTGGGTAACTTTCAACTTCAATTCTTGAAAGACTACTACTGTTCTTTAGGACACAGAGTCATACCAGCATTATTAAATGCTGAGGCTAAAAATATGGGCTTTTGTTTCATATTCGGGGGCATTAAAAACACTGAGGAAGGCTTGAACGTAGCAAGTGCTTACAAGATGGTCACTGAATTGAATTCAGTCTTATCTGTTAGAAAACCTGCTACTAAGCAATCCAACGATGGGATAAATGAGGAGACTTGAGTTTGACTTGGATGCTGAGGCTTCCTTTTACAGCCTGAAGTAAGGGTGCAGGGAAACTTGAACTATAGAAGGGGAGGGTCTCTTCAATGTAAACCGCTACCAGTTTGCTGTTCCACGAGCAGCAAGCTGAATTCCACTGCCTGCCATATTAGTTCTGCTGGAATGCCCAGGGATTCACAAAGTTAAAGTTGGTGGTCCCACAAAGGGGTTCCAAAAGTAGCTTGGCTACCTGTGATTGAGATAAGAACTCAGTATTATAATTTGTTAAGTTCCAAGGTGGGGACAAATTCAGAAATAGTTAGGGATTGTTTCCTCCATGGTTCTCAGTTCTCATGTACTACCACATGGTGGTGTAGGCATCAGATATAGTCAGTAAATCTGAAAGGCAACATGTATTATGCAGACATGCCAAACCATGCAAATTTAAAAGTGCTATAATAAAAGCCAGAATATGATGAAATGTATACTGTACACAGTGGCTTTTAAATTTAAAAGGATTGAGGGTTTGGGAATGAGTAGCCTAAAGGGGTGATACGATAATAGTCTTCCAGAAAAGCTGCCACTAGAAAGCAGGACTGGATTTGTTTTATTTGGCCCTAGAGGACAGAGCCAGGAACAAAAAGAGGCAACTTTAGGCCTGATGTCAGGAAGAAATTTCCTAGCAATCAGAGCCCTCCAAAAGTGGACCAGGCTGCCCTAAGAGGTGGCAAGGTACCCCTCCTGGGAAGGGTTCAAGCTAAGACGAGAGGGCCACTTTTCAGGCAGCTTATACTAAGGGTTGTATGAGTTGGATTCAAGGGCCAAAGAGGTCCCTTCTAACTTTCAAATCCTGTAACTGTGTAAACTCTTCTCTCCTGACATGAGTTACACATAAAATGACCACTTTCTTTCTTCAGAAACCTCGTGGCATCGGAGAACACAAGATTCTAGATCCGGAAAGAACCTCAGCTGGCCATCTAGTCTAACCCTCATATTTTACAGATGAGAAAACTGAAGCAAACAGAAGTTAAGTGTCTTGCCCAGGGCCACACAGCTATCAAGCATCTGAGATTTGAGCCTATTTCAGTCCAGTACTCTATCCCCTACACCACAAGGGCCTATTTGAAGCTTTATGAGGATGAGTATCATGGCAGATAACCATGCCCTTCCACAAAACCTCCCCTTGTGCCACCATCAGAGACAGAATTCCAAGCTGAATGGACCAAGAGGTTGACCCTATATGTTCACTTCTATGAAGAAAAAAATGCCCTTCTAAGAAGCTGAAGAAATTTCGGGAGAGGGAGGACAGATAATCCCGGAGAATCTTTGACTCTCTGACCATCAAAGAGCGCCACAGGTCATTCTTCTCCTAGCCAAGGTCCACCAGCAGTCAACTCCAAATTGCTCAGCCTGGGCAGGCTAGAAAAGCCAAGGAAGTCTGGGCACCTATGTTCTCTTGAAACACAACTGAGGCGAGCAAGGAGGGACCATGAAATTCACTGCAAAGGGAATAATTCAGAGCAGGTAATTCTCCCAAGGTATAGACTAACTTCCCTAGGGCTTATGAGGAAACTCCACTGCGCCAGAGTTTCTAAGAAGAGAACGGCAAGAGACCCGGGCTCTGGGAGCTGAGGCCAGTTAACTGGTTTCCCACTCTGAGGCTCCACTAAGAAAGGACAGACTTCCAGAGTTGCTTCTGGCTCCCAGGATTTGGGGTGCAGGATTTTTTAATAAACTGACCACATATGACACAAATCTACGATTCCATGGCTGCCTATGGCACTGGACATCCCTTTTCCCTGGTAAGTGGCTCAAGTCCGACAATACTGCCAAGACCAGAGAGCCAAGGACAATGAGATGGTCACAGTGCAAGGAGTACAGGCTTCCAGGTTCAAACCATACTCCTGACACTGACTACTACCTGTGTGACCTTGTACAAATAACTTAAACTTCCTGGGCCTCAGTCTCCTCATCTGTAAAATGAAAGGGCTGGACTAGATGACCTGTAACATCCCTTCTAGCTCTGGATCTATGATGCTTATGGGGTGGTCATGCCCTGTGGTCTGGACAGAATTCTGTTTTTAGTGGCATCAACTGGAGGTGCTTTGCAGAAGGACATGGCAGTGTCCTCACAAACCTTCCTTTAGTAGGTCCAGCTAGGTGGCCCTGTGGATAGAGCATCGAGACCTGAGTTCAAATTCAGCCTTACTAGCTGTGTGACCCTGGACAAGTCACTTAACTTCTGTTTACCTCACTTTCCTCAATTATAAAATGAGGTTAATAATAGCCCCCACCTCCCAGGACTGTTGTGAGGGTCAACTAAGATAATAATGTAAAGTGCTTAGCATAGTGCCTGGCACATAGCAAGTACTACAGAAATGTTAGCCATTATTAATTTCCTTGAGAGCAGGGACTATTTTCACTTTTGTACTTGTGTCTCAATGCCTAGTACAATACCTGGTACATATACTAGAGGCTTAATAAATGCTTGTCGACTGACTACATATTATTCCCATTCACATATTCCCCACCTGAATCGAACCTGACTTGCTAGGAGTTTCCCATACATAACGTTCAAATTTCCCATTCTCTGCTTGTATACATTATCTCTTAACTTCTTTCAAAGCACTATATGAGTGCTCCTATATGAGGCCTTTCCTGACTCGAGGCCCCACCCCCTGGTTATTAATGCTCTCTCTCATTCAAATTACTTTATTTGTATCTACGTATATGTGTATGTGTTCTATTCTCCTAGCAGTATGTAAGCTCCTTGAGGGCAAGGACTGTTTCATTTATGTCCTGGTAATCCTAGTGCCCAGCATGTAACAAACACACAATGAATGTCTGTTGAATGGAAAAATTCTCTTTTGCCTCATTTCTACCCTGTCCAATCTCACCTCCCTAAAGGTAAGATTGCCCACCTGAATCCAGGGGCCTTTTGCTTATAGTGTAGGGGTGACAAGGAAGCATTGGAATAGGTCAGAGAAGATGTGGGCCACCATGCCACATATGACAACAGATGTCCCAGAATGGGGTCCATGACCATGAAAGCAGGGTAGCTCAATGAAAATCAAAAGTCTCCATCACTTTGCACTTTCACTAATCCCAGGATCTAAATTTGGACAGGAACTTAAAGAATACCTAACCTACTCCCATTGTTTTACAGATGAGAAGACCGAGGCCTGGAAAGGTTAAGTGAATCTGTCTGTGGTTATATATGTAATAATAATTACTATTAATAATAACAATTAAAATGATGGTAGCTGACATTTATATAACCCTTTAATGTTTGCAATTATCTCATTTGAAATAAATAACCAGGATTTGAACTCTCTCCAGTAAGCCAGGCTGCCTCATCCTATACTTCATACTGTTGATTTAAGAGACTCAAAACGGTACAAGCCCCACTCTTCATCATAGGTGGCAGGACTTCACTTACCATTATTCATTTATTCAACAATTATGAAACTCCTATTACATATTACCCTCAACAATGTAAACACCCAAGAAATAGTCACTGTGCCTCCCCCCCTTTTTTTGGGGGGCAGGGAAGCATTATAGCAATTGAGCACTATGTTAAATATATATTAACTGCTCAAAAAAGATAAGAAACAGCCTTATTTTATAAACACAGTCTCAGGGAGGTAAGCTGCGGCAGCCTTCCTGTGGTTACATAAAATGTCAAAGGCTGGGGGCTTATTCATTTACAATCTATTCTCAGTACAGTATTCTATCCCCCAGTCCACAATACCTGCTTACAGATCAGTGTACAATAACACTACCATTTTCATCAATGATAATTAAAAGAGTAGAAGCCACACTAAAGAACAGATCAATGGTTCTGATGGCTTGATATCTTGTCTCTAATACAGATCAACAGCAGAGGCTTCAGGGAAAAGAACCAAAGCCGGCATAAAGCATCTAACCGTGCAACAATGCACTGTTAGAGAATGAGGAATATTTCTGCTCTCCAAAGCTGGCAGTAGGTTTAACAAAGAGCTGTAACCCAATAGATGCTGACATTTTATGCACAATGTTGAATTTAAAATTGAATTTTTAAAAAATTGAATTCAAATATATGAAAAGGTTATGCAGATAAATGGGGAACAGAAGTTGGGAAGGATAAAAGGATAAAGAAACAGTTAAAGATTAAGCCTTTGAAAGAATATAGCCAGGTGAAGAGAGAGACTTTTCTTACCTGATGAGGGCATACTAATGTTATACTGAGGTAAAATAAATAGGAAGGCAGTCTTGGCCGTGACCTGTGAAAAGAAAGAAAGCAAAAAAAAAAGATTTCATTTTATCTCATCTTGGACACACTCAAAGCAGCAGCCCATGGCACCCATCTCTGCCACATTCTAGGGTCAGTCTCTACTGAGCGCCTCACATGAGGCAGAGTTAGCATCAATTCATACCCAATCCTCATATTCTGTGATAGGAAACGCCTGAGATAAAGTACTGATAGGAGATCTGTAAGTATGTGTGGGGGAGTGGGGTTGGAGGTTTTCATCACTGTTTTTTAACAAGGCTGGGATCATTGACACCTAAATCGGAAAAGCCCAAATTCAGCCATCTTAAGCCAAGAAAGTACTTAATCTGAATCAAGCTGTTTCACAAGTAGCCTGCAAGTCACCTTTCTAAAGTTTTGTCCAGGCAAAAGACAATTCTTTTCAGTTTCTACCTTATTTGCATGCTGTCCTATCCCAATAAAGCTGGTGACTAGTAAAATCCCTTGTTCTCTAGTACCCGTCCAGTTGTTCTCATCCCAACGGGCCTCCTAGTACTTCCTCTGGGAGAATTCTGTGGCATAATGGAAGGAAATAAAAATGCATTATTAAGTGATATAACATTAGATAATATATAATACTTAAGAGAAGGGCCAAATTTGAACTCAGACCTTCTGGATTCCAGGCCCTGTGCTCTGTCCACTGCGCCACCTAGTTAACTTCAATGGTGGCCCCTTTTAGGGTTCTCCCCAGTCCAACAAGAATCCCGAGAAAGGGTTCTTTGGGGAGGAAAAGTATAAACCTTCCATGTCTGGGAATTCTAAGTTTCTTCTAAGAAAAAATGATGAAACAGTTTTGGTATAGTCCTACCCAGAGGCAGGGGAACGGACTAACAGAATTCCAGAGGCCTTTGGATCCTAAAATTAAAAAGGAACTACAAAAATAATGACAATGATAGCTCAAATTTACATAGCACTTTTAAAGTTTGTACCACACCTATGTGACCTTACTTGAGCCTCACGACCCTGAGGGGTTGGTGCTAATATTAATCACAGATGGGGTTACTGAAGCTCAGAAACGCTGGATAACAACAATAACAACAATAGCTAACATATATGGTGTTTATTATGTGCCAGGCACTGTGCTAAGTGGTTTACAATTATAGTCACATTTGAGATGACTTGCCCATAGTCACGCAAATAATAAGAAGCTGAGGTGGAATTCAAACTCAGGTCTTCCTGTAAGTGCAACACTCCATCCATTATGCCCTTGCTGCCTCTCATGAAAACCCCTGTTTGTTTTAGGAATCTTTAAATTTCAGAGCACAGCCAAAGAGAGTCAGACCTTTCAGGGGAGGCTTCTTCAGGCAGACTGTCTGGAACCCACAAAACACACACACAATCATTATCAATAAATATTTATCACAGGTCCTCAGGGCACACCGCTGTGCAGAATGTCTCTGATTTTCAAAGTCGCAAGAAAGAGAGAGGGGGAGTACAATGGGCTATATAGAAAGCAGCCTCAGATGACTCAGATGAACCTTGCCATTGAGGCCCCAGATAGACAGGGAAGAGGTCTGCCGTTTCTAGGCTACTCTGATCCCCATAGGCAACTCTGTGTAAAAGTAACACACTACATAGACTCCGCAGATGTGAATTATTTACTCCACATTGTTTTTCTTTGCTTGGTCAAATGTAGGTTCTTTTGTGTATTCATCCTTGTCAGTGGTGTCTGAGATACAAAAATGCAAAAACTTCACCTGAAATTTGCTAAATTCAGCCTACTATTCCTCAATATGCACTCACCTCTGCCTTCCTCTCAGTTCTAGTTTCTTCCCTGTCCCACAGGCAAGCCAGGCTCATGCCCAGCTCCCTTCCTATCACGCTGATTCCTGTCTTGGGCCTAGAATACCTTCCCTTCCCTTTTCTTGTTATCTGTTTGCAGAATCACAGAATCTAATTCCTGGAAAGGATCTCAGAGGTCATCAGCATCTAATTCGATCAGTTAATCAGTTACCAGGCTCCACATTTTAGGGAGGACTTTGATAAACTGGAGGGCAACCCACCTCAAGATCACACCACAAGGAGGACTGGGAGGGAATCAGGAATCTTTAGCTCCAGACAGATTTAAGGAGACTACAACAGCTGTCTCCAAGTATCTGGAGAGCTGTCCCATAAACAAAGGATTAAACATGTTTTATTTGACTGCAGAGGGCAAAATTAGGATCAATGAGTGGTAGCTAGAGATCAAGCATTAGGCTTAATGTAAGAAAAAACATCCTCAGAATCAGAGCTATCCCAAGGCGGGATGGTCAGCCTCAGAAGTTAGTGTCATCTCTCTAATTTCAAAAAAAGACCAAATGACCACCTGTCAGTTACACTGCAGGAAATTATTGTCTAGGCATGATAGGAGCTGAATTAGAGCCAAGTGAGATTCTGTCATCAAGGAGTTCTCTCTGAACCTTTTCCAGCTGCTCCAGCTCACAATATTTTCCTCTACCTTTAAATAAAATTGTGTGTGTGTGTGTGTGTGTGTGTGTATGTGTGTACACATATGGGAGGGAGAGAGAGAAGAAAAGAAGAAAAAGAAGAAAAAGGGGACAGAGTAAAGAAACAGAAAAAGAGAGGGAGAGAGAAAAAAAGAAACAAAGAAAGAGAAAATGAAGGAATGAGAGAAAAGAAACAGAGAAAGAGAGAAAAGAGAGAAAAGAGAGAAGAGAGAAGGGAAGAAGGGAGGGGGGGCAGGGGGGGAGAACAGATCATAGTTGGATGAGACCTTAAATGTTATCTACTCCAACCCTCTCTTTTTGGAAATGACCAAACAGGCAACTTGAACAAAGCTGCAGAGGTAAACAGTAGCAGAGTAGGAATTCAAAGAGAAGTCCTCTGACTCCAAACCCAGCACATTTTGTGCTGTTGTCTCTTAACTCCCTACAGCATTTGGAATCAAGATTACACAGGGGAGCACTTACTGATAATAACCATCTTGTAGTATTCTCTTTATCTCTTCACTTGTCCCCAACAAGAGTGGATGCTCTGTCAGGGCACGGACCACATCATTTATCTTTTCTGTCCCTATAATGTGTGGGTCCTGGGCACATATAGTAGGTACTCAGGGGCTGAATGGTATAGTAGCCATGCACACACATGCATGCACTCAATGCAACTAACCAAATTGTCCTATTTTGACAACAATGACTATTTTGCTTAAAAACATAAGGAGAAAAGGATGTAAAAGTGTTGTATTTTCAAAGACTCTGCCCCTAGTTTTAAGAAAACCATGGCAGATTCAGGAATTTATTACCATCACCATTTTGAAGGAAGAGCAGTGCCAGTAAAAGATACCACCTCAATTTCTACAAAAACTCTTTCTGAGCAAAGGTCAAAAGTACTTCCTACACTGGGTTCATATGCTTCACCACATCTAAGAAAGTAACAAAATCTCCATGTTAAAAAACGGCAGACAGGGCAGGAGAAAGGGGTTATAGTAGATTACAAGCTCAATATAAGCCAAAAGCATGGCACAGCCGCCAAAAGAAGCTAACTTGATCACAGGCTGCACTATTCATCAGGCACTGTGCTAAGCACTTTTCATAAATATTATCCCATTTGATCCTCACAACAACCCTGCAAGATAGGTGCTATTATTATCATCCCTGTGTTACAGTTGAGGAAACTGAGGCAAACAGAATGACTTGCCCAGGGTCACACAGTTAGTTACTGTCTGCAGCTGAATATGAACTCAGGTCTTCCTGACTCCAGGCCCAGCACTCTATCCACTGCACCACCAGCTGCCTCTCCTCTAACAGGATAGGATATGGAGGTGATAGCCTTTCCATAATTCACAAACACAAGCCTAAAGCATGGAGGGTCCTCTTCCACACGGCCGACTTTCCTTCAAATACTCAGACAGCCATCATACTACACAGGATCAGATTCAGAAGTGAAAAGCATCTCAGAAGCCATCTGGTCTAACACCCCTTATTTTACAAATGAGGAAATTCCCCTGGTCAGACCACATCTGGGGTGCTGTGTTCTGTCCCGGGTGCCATTTTTTTAGGAAAGACACAGTCAGGCTGGAGAGCATCTAGAGAAGGACAATTAAGAGAGAGAAATGACTAGAAAATAAATTATATAAAAACTGGTTGAAGAAATAGCGTAGAGAAGCGGTCTTAGAGAGAACATGGAGAACACTGTGGCATTGTCACCTCTCTGAGGCCAACCTCCCGTGACCTTGAGCAATCACTTTATTTCCCTGGACCTCAGTTTCCTCACCTGTGAAATGAGAGAGATGGACTAGCCACTAGATGGTCTCTCAGGTTTCTTCCAACTATAAATCTGTGACTCTGTTTAGTATGAGAGCTGTTTTTGAGTACTTGAAGATAGGGAACAAGGGAAGGAAAGGTTAATAAGCATTTATGTTGTTATTGTTCAGTCACTTCAATGGTGTCCAACTCTTCGTGACCCCATTTGGGGTTTTCTTGGCAAAGATACTGGAGTGGTTTGCCACTTCCTTCTCCATTATAATGGATGAGAAACTGAGGCAAACAGGATTAAGTGACTCGCCCAGCCTCACACATCTGATAAGTGTCTGAAGCCAGATTTGCACTTAGAAAGATGAGTCTTCCCGACTTTAGGCCCAGCACTCTATCCACTTCACCACCTAGCTGCCCAATAAGCACTTAACATAGCACCACTAAGTGCCCTGTGAATATTATTTCTTTTGATTTGAAGGAAAGGCTACCAAGTAATAAGACTACTTCTGCTTGGCTCCAGAGAGCAGAACTAGGAACAATGAACAGAAAAAGCAGACTTCAACTTAAAAAAAAAAAACTCAAAAACTTAAAATCAAACAAGCAAAAAAAACCACAAACAGAAATGTCCAAAAATGGGAGGTGTTACTTCGGAAGACAGTGAGTATCCTATCCCCGTATGTCATCAAGCAGAGGACCAGAGGCCCAGTGTTTCTCAAAACAAGTTACAAGGGGACCTTTTGCATCAGACATAGCTACTTCCAAACATGTGATCCTGTGATTC